GTTCTACAATTCCCATGATAATACCGAGAATATGTTTAGTTACTAGCTGATGAGCAAATGAATGAATTTTTCTATCTCATCAAATAGCACAGCATAAAATACACATATGCCTTTTAGAGAAAACAATGTATATGTGGTTCACATTTTTCTTAGAAGTGTATTTCTATTTTGTACTCCCAGTTTTGTGTCCAGAATCATAGCAGAGGCATTTACATGGCAAATAGGAGTAGCTTGCCAAACACAGTACTCAGAAGTCATTGGCTCATCGATACATACATTTTGAAACTGTCAGCCACTTGAAATGCATCATTTGGTTGCAAAAGATGACTTTGAGTGATTTTTACTCTTTTTTGCAAGGAGGTAGACTATGCACCCATATAATTTTTGTTTGAGTCAATTTCTTGGTTGAAACCATTATAAGGGAAAATCAGTCTGTAGGAGAGAATAGCGATTTGAGGTTTGAAAGTGTCCTTAAAAACCATCAACAATGATCTTTCTAGGAGGTTAATTTATGATATGATAATTTTCAGTGATTCAATTTATAATGTGATAATTTTCAGTGACACAAACCTCAGTATACCTTGAGGCTACCCATTTTGTTTTTGAATGGACTTTCTTTAGGTAAAAAGAATTTGCATATAGGTTACTTGAACATACTGGTCTTCGGCTTTGGAATTCACAGATAAATGAGTAAAACAGAGAATAAAGAGATACAAATAATCCTCGTTTAATGATCAAGTTCTGTTCCTATACAAGGTCATTGACTGAATTGGTTGCTAAATGAGGAATTGTATACAGTATGTACATTATGATACCCATTACAAAAAAATTGTCAAAGGAAACTCCAACTTGATTTTGCTTTTATTTGCATGATTCTTACATGTAGTACCGTGATTTATTTCAGAATATGAAACTAGTGCTATACTATACTGTAAAATCAGCTAAAATTACAGTGTTATATACACAAGGTATACAGTACAAAGAAAAGATGCCAAGATTCTAAAAAAATGAGAGATGTGCAGGACTGTACAAAAAGAAAGAAAGAGGTCATAAATCTAAGCCGCTGGTCATTCATCTGAACAGCATACCTTGGTCATAAGTCTGAACGTTTGATGAACAGGTAGGTCATTAATTGAGGAATATCTACATAGAAAAAATTTTTAAAGTCCAAAAAAATGTAACTTTTTGACTGGAACACCCCAATCTTTCAAGTTTAACTGTGTGTAGAATTGGAAAGACGTTTGTCTGATTCCTAGGAAACTAGAAGATGAAATATCCTTTCATCTTATATAGAAACACCAATAGAAAGTGTATTAACCATTTTATTCATCAAGAATGTATTGGTTAGCAGAACTGTGTAACAAATCTCCCTAAAATGTGCAGGTTTAAAATAATTACATTTTTTATTACTCAAGATACTTATGGATTAACTTGGTGGCTCTCCTTCTCTGGATTGGACTCTGCTACTGATTGATCAAGGAAAAGTTTTGCTTGAAAGCATCATTCCGTTGTATACCTGAGCAACATCTTCAGTAGACTAGCAGGTACCTTTTCCTACTAGAGGCAAAGGCTTGAGGAAGGGAAGAGAAACCTCCAAGTGTTTTCAAAAATCCTTTTTTGTTTTACACTTGTGGTTGTCCTCTTTTGCCTGGACTCAGAGTGAGAGAACATTGCAAAGTTGAAGGCCAAAAACCCATGTACAAGGAAGGCATGCTTTGAGGCCAGCAGTGTAGTTAATAACACCACGTGGAAAAATACCGGGGGAGAAAAGGGTTAATCTAGAAATAAAATACAAAAGCAGGGAATGAAAGGAAGAAAAAAAGAAAAAAATCAAAAGAAAGGTTGACTACAAAAAAAAAAAAAAAAAAAAGGACTAGGAAAGAAATGGTGGAACACACAATCTAAAGAGGAGAAAATTCTTGAGTGTTGAAAGGGCCAAGATACGTGACCTCAAAAACAAAATCTGGTAAAAATATATAGTATAATATTTGTAATAAAACTTATAATGACATGGCATTCATAGCAACATGTAATATTCATAACAACAGGACTTTTCAATTGTTGGTAATAAAAAATGAAGTTCCATTGGGAGTTTGGAAAAGAAGAAATACACTAAATTACCACAGAATTTTTTTAATAATGTACTTTGTAACTTGAGAGGAAAAATGCTGTCATAATGTAGATGAGTGAAATCTATGGACAAATGCCACTGGTACAGCTTTCATACTTCTAAAGCAGACATTTGCTAGAACTACTTTTTTAAAAAATATATGGCTTTTTCTGTTTAGGATGAACAAGAGAGAATCGTAATTGGAATTTCTCCCCCTCTGCTTTTCTGCCAGTTTTCAACTATGAGTCTGACCACCAGGGATATTTACAGCAGTACTCACCAATCTGGAGTACACAACTGGGTGGGAATTTAAAAGAAATGCAGTTTATTTTCATTTATAATTTTGGAATTTCCAGTCCAAAACTAGGTGAACCCATTCCTTTGGGCTTCTGATAGTTGTTCTGGATAACAATAGTAGGTGTCATAGGCATTGCAAGGAGAACAATTATGTACAGGACACAGAATTTATAATATTTTATGATGGTCACAGAGCTAAATACAAGAAAGTACAGGAAATCTGTCCATAACACTAAAGACCTGGAAAATCCAGCTGAGGGTCTGGATCCCACAGCAATGTCCTGCATGAGTCTAGCTGAAGACCTAGAGCCCATGACAGTGCTCCCAATGAGTCTAATTCGAGGTCTAGAGCCCATGACAATGACTCATGCAAATGTCTTTTGTGGATCTGTGCTAGGAAGGCCCAAAGGTCAGCGGTAGAAGCTACAAAGTCTGTGTCAGCTGGGTAAAGAATTTGTGCCAGGAGGCTGAGAGTTGTACACTGGCACCAAGAAGCAACGCTCAAAATAAGGAACAAGACTCCCCCGAAAAGTACACAGCCATCGTCAGCCACAGTGAGGTTCTGAGCTTCTCCAACAATGAGAACAGCAGAGTACATATAGGAAGCCAGCATGACAAACCTCTCCTGGAGATTAAATAGCAAACATCTTCCACTCCAGAGCCAGCAAGTGATGCTCAAAGTAAGGACCAGAGCTTCCCTAAAGTGAACCACACCCATTTTCAGTGACAAGGTCGCAATCTCCTGTGATAATAGTGGGGGAGTTAACATGACAGACTGCTCCAGGAGAACCAAACAGCTCCAAACCTAACACCACTTAGGAAAACCCAGAAAGCTACACTCTTCCTCTCTACACCTCTTTCATGCTGGCAACTTTCCTCAGGTGGGCCATCCACACTCACCACCATGCTGCTTTAATTCAGCTAGTGTTAAGTTGACCACCAGCTTTTGATCCAAAAAAGCAGGGAGCATCTGGTGGAGCCAGGAATCAAAGAGAAAGAGGAAAAGATAGGGATCCCACAGTCCTCCTTCAGGGCAGCACTTCCCATTAGGCCCTGCTTTCTAAAGGTTCTGCCAGCTCCCAAGAATGGTCTCCTAGGGCCCCAGCCTTACACGCAAAGACATTTGAGGGATGGATGTTCAACATCTGAAGTATTATTGCCCATTAAGAAAAAGGATCTCATCTATTAATCCTGAGTGCTTCAGTAAGTCACTCAATAGGATATACTTGACTTTCATTTAGGAAATGAGCTTTTAGGGACAGAAATTATGGTTTATTTTGTTTTATGTGTTTTTGTCACCCAAATATCAGAGTATTTACCTGAAATAGTACAAATGGAGAAAAATATAATTTTCCATTTATTTAAGATTTTTGTACAGTTTTTAGAAACAGTAAAATTTCTTCTTAATTTGTCAAATTCAATAAATTATTATTTATTTATTAAGATGAAATGAGGAAAAATAAGTAGTTCGCCTTTATTAGGTCTTCATTCCAGCTCAGTTCATTTCCCTCATACTACAATGAAGTTTATTATGTCTTGCATAGTATGCTCTGATCAAGTACCTTATTTAGTAAAATACTCACTGGTGCTCATAATCTGCTTATTCTACCTAAAGAATTTTTGGCGCATTTATTCTATACCTTTTCTCTCTTGTACATTCATTTATTAATGATAGTTTTATTCTCTTTTTTATTTCCATAAAACTAGTAATAGAGAACAATCCTATTTCCAGGGGAGTTTTTTCCAAATCTAGGAAAAGATTTCCAAGTGATCACCTTATTTATAACTATTGAATTCATAATTCTCTATAACCATTTTCAGTATATTCTCAATGTATGCTCGTTATTTTAAGGTGCAGATATTATATGTCATAATGTAGATGAGTGAAATCAACTGACAAATGCCACTGATAGGTCTTCATTCCTATCCTGTTTGTTGTACTTAGATTTTTCGTTCCCTTAATGTTCAAATTTAGTAGATACGTGTGTGAGACTTCCCCTAACACCTCAAAAGCTTTCCTTATGTGTTTCAACTAGAATGCTGAAGCTCCACATGCATACAAAATTTAATTACATATGAAATCAACCCTATTTGACAAACATGGTATGTTAATCAACGATAACACAGGTAAGTATATACTTAGTAGCGCATGGTGTTTTTTTTCTGTTTTTATATCAATTAGGTTATTTGTACAAGAATATTTTAAACTTCGTGGAAATAAATATAAGATCAATTATCTAGGAAGACAAACAGTAAGAGAAGAATGTCTATGCTAGAAGCAGCCAGTGGCAGTGTTTCCATGGTGTACCTGTGTAAGCTGGCAGCCCCAGCACCACTGAGATCCTCCGAGAAACACTGCTTTCCCTACCAAGCCACCATCCTCTAGGACCAGGAGGTTGCTTGTGTCATTAACTCAGCAAATAGCATGCAATTAATGTTATTTTGAAATTACTATGCATTTTTCTATGACATTTTGTCTTCGCTCTCTCGTCTCTTACCTCCATTACCTGATTTTGTTCATTAAGCAGACTGATAACACTCTCCCATTTCTGATGTTACATATAGCAATCTGCTTTTTTTTTTTTCTTTTCAGATTCCTGTGTTAGTCACAGAGATAAGTTCAACCAATCATCCAGTGAAAGTGGGGCTGTCTGATGCATTTGTCGTTGTTCACAGGATCCAACAAATTCCCAGTATGTAAAAGAAGGGTAATTTCAAAGTATGAGCTTTCGGGGAGGGGAATAATTTACAAGGACACTGACCTCACGCAGGTATAATTTTTTAAAAAAATCACTTCACTAATTCCTCCTTGATGATTCTACTGTTTGGTTTATAAGTCCTATTGGGATTGACTGTCTCTAATATTCTAGATCCAGTAAAGTTAGGTAAAGAGAAATTAAAGAGCTAGCCCAGAATACATAGTTGAGGATTCTTTGGAATAACTGCCTAAGCTGAGTGGAGATAATTGTGGTATTAATATAAAGAACTTAACATAATGACAGATCATTTGGTTGATAGAAACATGACTTTCCATGTTATTTACTTATTTTTAATAAGTCTGTCAGGAAAACAGCTTTGTGCTATTTTATGTAGAAAGTTTTTGTGTGAAAATTATTTTGATGAAAAAGAAAGTATAATTTGATTCACATAAAAATTTAAGGGAAGCTGTGCATACTGGAGAAGATATATATTTATCTTTTTTAAAAATCACTTTTTGGGCTGGGGATTTAGCTCAGCGGTGCAAGTGCCTGCTTGGCAAGTACAAGGTACTGAGTTCAATCCCCAGAAAAAAAAAAATCACTTTTTATCTAATGTAGTTTATATTTTGCAGAAACAAGTAGGATTTTTGGAAAATTATTCATCATAGCAGAAAATAAAAATGTTACTGGGTGTGAAACTCACTGGTGAAGCATTTGCACAAGACGCATGGGGTTCATCTCTAGTGTACACGCACAGAGGAGGGAGAAACAGACACTCAGCGAAGGGAATAGAAAAGAAAAGAAAAATATTTGCTGCGTGCATTTTGTAGTAGCTCCAACCATGTAAACAGTCATCTTTTGAAAGCTTCTGGTTTCTAAACCATCTCTTTACTTCTAGAACATTCCTAAAGAAGACATTAAAGATTTGGTACTGGAGTTGTGTCCTTAGTGTGCTTACATAAACAAGGAATAATATAATAAAATGCATCCAAAGATCAGATCATTCTTTCTTTTTGTTAAAAGTTCTTTTTCTTTTCTTTCACTAGAATGATAGATCACATGTATGCTATTTGCTCTTGACTTGAGCTGATTCTAATTATGACATCTCTGAAAGCAGAAAGTAAATGGAGTAGAAACTAGACTTTTCAAAGCAACGGATTGGCTGAAAATGTTGGAAAGGCTCTTCTCCTTTAGAATAGCATGCATAGGGCAATTATGTTCAATGAAGATCGTGCATCATGGAATGGGTGTCTCATTAGCAGAGAATTTGTGAGAGGTAATATTCAAGGCAATTGTTAAATCGAGGTGGATTTTCCAGAAACTGAATTGTACTGAGAACAAAGCAAGAATATATTAGTATGTGTAAGCAACATAAAGGCAGCCTGACAGAACTCTTAAATAAGAGGCTGAGCCCTGGGAGAGCCAACCTTGGCTTCTGCGTGAGGAGCAGTGTTCTCACATTCTCCCTTTCAGAGGTGTTAAATCAAGCATGGCCTGAGTCAATTATTGCACAAGTGAAAGGAAACAGTAGTTTTCATTTATTTGTTGGTTCTTTTCATCCCTGGAATAATTTTATTTGCAGCTTGCTCACAAGACATTTTGGTGCACATTGCTGCTCTGATACATCATTGTTTAGCAAAAAGGCACACCAAAGTACGAAAAATGATCTTTGTATATATTTTAATATGCAAATTCTGTGTCAGTATTTTCTCGATGATCAAATTTTGCTGAGACTTCAGGCTCCCAGAATGTAACTTTAGATCCCTTGAGATGCTATAACAGCATAGCTGCTAGTGTTTTAGGGGAAAGCATCCTTCAAAATATCTATTTCTTTTAATAAATTGGCAAAGTTCATATGAGTTTAGAGACCATATTTTGACTAAAGTTTAGAACTCACCGTCTACCTTAAAACATTATTCAAACAGAGTTCAGAGGAAAGTTTTGCTCAGGCAAGCTGAGAAGTTGGGGTTAGTTCACATTTCCTGTTGACATTACTATTCAACTCAGAGAAAATTAGCCAAGAAGGAATAGAAATTGTAAGTCTCTAATGCCCTGTCTCTGCCATTAAGTGAGGCCATATTTGAGGAATAAAATTGAAGTTGATACATTCTACTTAAAATTCACTTTGAAGACAGAAATTTAAAATCTCCTTAAAAATCTGTTCCCACGTAAAAAGTGCAGCAGTGTTTGTTACACGATCTTCTGTGTAAGAAATAAGATTGCATGAAATTCTAAACTAAAATAATGCATACTTACTCATGATGCAGATTAAGAAAGCTCGAGATTAGCATAATACACATTCTAACAGTATTTTTTTCCCTGAGAAATAGAATTATTTCTCCAGGTCTGTATGTTATCAATCTGTGTAGTTAGAATTTAGGTAAATATTAAATCCTTATCATAATTCTGTTTACATATTAAACAAATTCTCAGTGTTAGGAGTAGTCCCATAGTGAATTAAATCCTTTATTTCTGCTACTCCTTTTTTTCCCTGAGTGGATTTAAGGACCAACTGATCATTATCCTAAGTAATGGGCAATTTCACTTCTTCTATATTTCAAGGTGACTTACAGAGGACCCTGTTCTCAGAAGATCAATTTTCTGTTCTTCTAATCATTTGATTATATGGGTTATTAAATCCAGAATTTCAGTGTAATCTAGCCATGGCAAAATGGGAATATGAGCCATGGCCTTGGGAATTCTTTTCCCCTGTGGGACCAGCATTGCTATCCCATTCTCATCATATTTGGTGAAAATTTGATAAAGCATTCAATAATCTGTGAAGTAGTTTTAATTAACTTGTTAATGAGATTTCTCCCCACCCATACTTCACAGCATCAGCAACCAAAAACCTCATTTTTCATCTTTTAAAGACTTTCAAAGAGTAAGTGATTTTAGTGCCAAATTTGAAATAGCTATTGAGGCAGGCTTTTGTTTTCAAAAAAGATCAGATAGTCTTATACAAAGTTTAAATATCAAAGAGAATCCAGTCAGTGTTTACTAAACTGATACAAAATTCTTGGATTACAAGGGAAATTACTTCTTCCAAAGCTTATGGTGAAATTAACTTTTAAATTAAAAAATAAAAGATGAGAATTAGTTACAAATATGCGCAACATAAGGGATACCATATGCTGTGAATATTAGTCATGATGCCTTCGACATACTATTTAATTTCTGCAACTTCTTTATATACAAAATGGTCTTAGGACCAAAAATGCAACTAGTATGTAACATGTAATTGCATACAATTAAATGGGTTATAGTATTTATGGCCATTGTTTTTTCCTTCATCATTGTCATTATGATCATCATTTGTAGCCAGTGATGACATTGTTGTCACCATAAAAAACAGGTATTATCCTCATAGGCTCACAAGAGATTTCCACCAAGATAACACTTGGACAGAGTATCACTGAAATGCTCATTTTTTTCCTGTGAACTTGTGTTTTTTTTAAATGTATCCTCATAAGACTTATATATGTGGTCTTACAACTTTAACATACTTTCTGTTTTTTTTGTTTTTTTTTTTTTTTTTTTAAAGAAAAGGAAACGAAAAAAAATACATGGAGATTAAAAAAAAAAGGGTAGAAATAATTCTAAATTACAGACAAACAAAAGGTAAGAAATTGCCAGTTGATAAGTTACAAATTGTCATCTTCGAAATGGCTGTTCAGGTTATAGAATTAAAGTATATAGAATGACATTCAAAAAAAAAAAATGACCCTATAAACCATTCTGCTCTATGGCCGAACAAAAGCTCCGTAATATGATTATCGGTCCCACCTATTTGTTTTACATCTCTAAGAGGATAAGGTTAACCATATCAAAACAGAACAGAACATTTTAAAAAAAAATAAAAAACAATTTAAAGAAGTACAGATTTCAAAGCAAGTCCACTGGAGATCTACCTTATCTAACTGTCTCTAGCTTCTTACAGATAGTTGTCCCTAACTTCACCCACTTTCTATACTTATTGCATATTATAGAACAAATCAAATCATTACAGGATGATGGAGTCTTTTTAGGTCCTCAAGTTCCAGATTAGGGAAGACATTTCCAACTACCATCGCATCACTCATTCTCTTTGTGATAGCCGTCCCCATCTCTGCATATGCTGAAGTTGAGCTGAAGAAACCAGTCCAGAGTCATTTTAATCAGCAAGCAATAGATTGCTAGAATTTATATTATAATGCTACAAAATAAGCCTCGGGTTTTTCAGGTCTCTTCCTCGGAGTATTTGTTCCTATCCTCTCTGTATTATAGGGAAAACCAAGTCATAACAAGACAGCGAAACAATTTCCTAGATAAACATGCAATGGATAAGACTTATAAAATTATAATATAAATGATCTTCCGTAGCTACTATGTTTTCTCTTGTTATTTTCAATAGATTTGTCAACAACACTGGCTTATTATAGTTAAATATACTATCACCTATTTTTATAAAAACTTATCTTTGACTGCATTGTAGTATTTGAGAGCTGTTACTGATTCATACCAGTATGGATATCCTTTACATCCTGTCATGCTCAGAGTAGTTTCCTCTACTTTTAGGGTTGATTCTAACACGCATACCGATTTCAAATAGGATCAGTCAAGGCCAACCAATGGTCTTATGATTCAGATACAATTAAGATCAGTCATAGTAAGACAATGTAAGTAATACAGGATTTCAGCTTAAGTCAATAGGAAAATAAGGATAGTTACCATGGTATAACCTGCTATTTTTGGTTCTAGAGGTCTGTGTCCTCAAATCTGATATGAGTGGACAGACCAGAACAAATTTAATTCAATCTAAATATGGCACTAGGACTACTGTGTCTTTTAAATCATTATACACCATTAGCAATGACCTCTGCTTTTTTTTTTAAATATAGTTTCAGAGCTGTCTCTACCAAACACTAGCTTACCATCTCTGCCTCATGTCTGCTACTCCACTTTTCTGCTATAATTTGTCCACCTTATTCCCTCATTCCATGGTCTGCCCCGTA